CCCAACCTACTTTTATAATTTGGAGAATGCTCTGATATGGACACCTACTAATTTTCAGTAATAAAGTCACACAGATGTGAGCTTTCACAGTTTCTTCCAATGAAATAGGCTGTAATCACGTTGTTTCAGTAAGCTAGCTGGAGGGTGCAGGTGAGAAATGCAAAAGCTTGTGAGTAGGTAGGAATTACAAATGAACCCCTGTTGTAGGGAAGCTGCTTGGTTGCACTGTTTTGACTCTTAAAAGTGTGATAACCTCAACCTTCATTACAATTCTTTTATTCCAGAGATGCTTAGAGAACCAAGAAGCAGGTAATGATACCAAACTGTCAGAGATATGCAGGTAACTGGCTGATGGGGTGTCTGTGTTCTTTCTGTATTGAACAGCTCACATCTTTGGATGCTTTTGTCATGGGTGCAGTAGCCAAAGCAGTTGCCACCACCCTCACTTATCCTTTGCAGACTGTACAGTCAATCCTGCGGGTGAGTACTCTTCTTGTTTCTGAGTAACTGATCTAGAGAAACGTAGGATAAATGATTGCAAAGAGAGGAAGAGCTTTGTTTTATATGCAAGGGATGGCTCTGAGGCTTAGGACTGCATGGGCACGTGCACAGGGAAAGATGATGAGAAAAATCTATCAAATCAGTTTTCTGCCATCAGCATTCATGAAAGGCAGCACTTTGTAACAGCTTCACATCAGCAAGTCACCACCGCTCCTCAAGGACTCTGAAAGAAGGACAAACTCCCCAAAACAATGGCACAGACAAGATTTCTTGTTCAAAAGGACAACTCCATGCCTTTCAATATCCCACCATTGTGCTGAGACAAGGGAGCATATAATGGGGCCCCACCACATCTGTAATCTACCTAGACAGGGTTAAATCACCTATCAATCCCAGATTAAAATCTGCCAAAGCCACACCAAGAATTTTAAAGCAACAATTCTCAGCAAGGAAGCCACAGGGAAGCCTGCCAAAGTGCTCAGCATTTGTCTAATTCCACATAAATCTTATCAGAAGGAAAACTAAAAAAAAAAAAAACCCAAAAAATCGAGTGCTCCATATCTGGATGTAAGTGCATAGAAAAGATTAGCTGCTGCTAAGAATAAAAGCAGCACCCACAGTGAGGGCAGCCGGGTAAAGAGAGCTGACGACTGCAGCTCTCCTGGTATAAGCGGATCTCTGGGAGAGCTCAGACAAATGTGGTTCCCTCCTGCAAATCGGGATGCCTTTATATTACTGCAGATTACCACCTGAATATCATCATTTCTGGGAGATTTCCTAAAGTCCTTAATGCTGTTTTTGCAGCCAAACCCCAAGGGAAAAGCCTGGGGACACACATTATGTCCTGCAGGAAGCAAAGAAAATGCAGCCAAATGTGACAAGCTATGCTGCAAATGAAAAGCACAAAGTAATGTGGCATCCTGCAAGAAAGCATCCCTATCCAACCCATTCCAGAAAGATATGCATTGCATTTTTCAGTGATTGATACTGTCTTTGCAGCCTGCCCTGTTGGAGCTTGCCCTAAAGGTGAGAGGCAGCTGCTAGGAGAGACAGCAGCTGCAAGCAGCAGGGGGTTTGATAGGCAAAGGGCAGCCACACCAGTGTCTGGTGCAGCCTTTGGAGATGCACAATTCAGCCTCTGGGGGGTTAAATAATTCTAAGAAAATGATTGTTTTAGGTATACTGTCTCCCCCTCTAACTCTGCTTTAGATCATATTGATTTATATATATAAAACTCACCAGCACATAAACTATGTCAGCCCCACAAAGAGCTCCACCACCCCCATGCCCTGTACTCTCCTGCCACACACTCATCAGGTGGGAAATGTTTTTCACAAGCAATGGAAAAATGATTATGGTGAAGGCAGTCACTGCATTTTCCAACAGACCCCCGTGGCAGAAATACCCGTTATGACAGTTCGTTCCCACTTCTAGGAACGGATTGTGTTTGCCTGCCTTTACAACAGGTACACAAGGAGCAAGGTGAGCACTCCCCTTTTACTTCCTCAGCAGATGAGCAATAAGGTGCGCAATGGAAAGATTAATCTGCACCAGGGGCTTTGCAGTCCAGCACGCTCTATTCCTCTTGGACAGATGGGAAGTAAATCTTGTTCTTACTTCTGCACAGGTTGTATATCAGCTTTCTTTGGGTTAGCCAGCAAACCGTGCAAGGGAATGACTCTACTGCAGTGAGGTACAGCCGGCTCGGGAATGGACATGGAGCAGCATTCAGCAATTTGATGACACTATTTAGGACCAAGAGTACATTATACCTCATCAGTTCTCAATCTGTACCCTCAGAATCAACATTCAGTACAAAAAAGACCTGTAAGAACTAGCAGGTCACTGGTCCTTCTGGATTGCAACCACCACATTAAATACAGTTCTGCTATTATTCATACAGGCAATCAATCAGTGCAGCAATGAGGCGGGTTCAAAGATGTAAACTGAAGCAAAAAGCACAACATCAAGGTGTCTGAGTAGCTGCTCTCTTAGCAAACTCTAAGCTGCCACAGATGTCTCTTCACTTTGGTCTAGGCGTGGGGTGAGGTACAGAAAGGATGGGACAGGGATTCAATTTAGATCCCCTACACTGAGCCAAAGAAGGAATGGTTACCCGTGAGGGAAGTTGGCTCAGATTTTGCTGCTGTCCTTCATAACAATCCTTCCCTTCAAAACAGTATTTTTTAGAAAGACTGGTTTTCATTTTGAGATGAAAACAATTTGTGTTCTCTAGAAGTGAAAGGATGCAGTTTTTGGCTGGAACATGCAGTTAGCTTCTAGGCACACAGGAGAAAAAGCAGTGCAGTGGTAGCAGCAATCTCAGTCTTAAGGCTTTCAGCACAAACACCTGCAACATCAACACGGACCAAAAAGTCTGCAAGACACTGAGTTAGAGCTTCCAGCAGCCACAGATTTCAGCTGAAATGGTATCGGAAACATCTGGCATTTACGTAAAGCCAGCAGCCTTCCAGCTCACCTGCAATTATTCTGAAAGCAAGAATGTCACTGATCCTTCTATACCCAGAGTGGTTTACCAAGAGCCATTCTGACAACAGGGAATTTCTTATTAAAAATAGCAAGACGCATCAAATTGTCTAAGTGATCCCTCATTTCAATCAACAGAACATTTCCACTGCAATTCTCAGAAGTGTGATTGCTTCTTTACCACCAGTGAGGTCTACATAATCTCAGGAGATTTCCTGTCATTTAGCAAAGTATAACTCCAGCTCATTGTGCTTACTCAATCCTCTTGATGTCATATGCAAATGCCATTGGGGCTGAAAAGAACCAAACAGAGCACAAAGTACAGTTCTATTGTACACTGATACTCCCAATACTTTTTGAACCTTAAGTCCAATTTAATCTTGTGCAAAAGAAGGCAATATTTCTGCAGAAAGACATTCTCATTTCATGTGCAGAACTGATTCAAACTGGGGGGGGGAGAGAAGGGAAGAAGACGCCATTTCACAGTTCAACAAACCTCCTGCAGCACTTCTTCTCCCAGACTTCACTGGCATTAAACTATTGTAGACTTTCTCAATATTTCAACTGTTAGACTGTACTTCAGAAGAATCCTGCTGCAGACTTCTTGACAGACAGCAGTATTTATATGCATTTTATGGCCAAGGATGACTAAACAAAACTCTGCATAAAGAACATACACGCTTGCATTAGCTGGGACAACAGTTATGACCCTTTGGCCTGGTCAAGAAAGTGTCTGGGAAGATCCATGAAAAAACAACTAAACCCCATTTCTGGGAAGGCATGCCACTGACGAAGCACAGGCTATTGCTCCTTGTCTGCATGAGAACATGAATTCACATTCTCCACAAGGAACCTGAAAATACAGAATTGTATCTGTTTCTGTGTAGAGAGTCACTTTCTTAGGGCACTCACCTTGTAAAAGCATGAGGATACTCTCCCCTTTTCTACCCAGTGTCTGCACTGAATATTTGCCTGTGGGTTCTGGAAAGCACTGTGCCTACTCTCTGCTAGCCTTCACAGTAGCAGCTCAGAAACATTAGTGCCAGGTTTCTGGGAAAACGCCTAGTCATTCTATGCTGCAAACGTGTATGTGATGTTAAAAGAAAACTGTGTCAAAATCTTGATCTTTCTGAATTGTTTTAATGATCTACATTATTGAGTGACATAAACATAGTGTGAGGAGAATAACACGAAACCGGCCCCACCGGCTGTTGACAGAAGGTAAAGACAGGGAGAGTAATTGAGGGTAATTCAAAGGAAAACCAGAAAGTTCAGCACAGTGAGGGAATCATTCTCACCATGACTGTCTGCCAATTCACAAAGCAGTAGGAATTTCATTTCAAGTGTTTGAATAAGGTCTCCGTTTTGTTTCTTAACACAGTGAGTCCACAGAAGAGCACAGGGAATGGGATATTCCCAAAGTCGTGGCAACACTTCCTACAGACTGCATTCCGAACTTCTCCAAGGAGTGGAGATGGCTAAAGAAGAGCAAGTGAGGACCCGTTACTACCCAAGTGCAGTCTCAAAAACAGAATACATTTTTCTAGAGCCCATAACCTTTGGCGTAGGTTCCTTTCTCAATGTGTGCGTGAATGCTTTAATCCCATGACTCTGAAGGTTGCCGCAGTCAGTTTCTCATATACTAGAAACATAAGAGCAGCAGTAAGGACTGTCTGCAGGAGCTTTGCTTCAAGGCCTTTGTAGAGTCCCATTAATCCAAAACGTCTAAGAAAAAGAAGAATTATTACAAGTTAATGACAACTGTAAGGATCTTCAATTCATTCTTGATCTCTTAACTGACTTTTATGATTAAAGGCATTTCACAGAAGAGTCTACAAGTTAAGTATTTGGGGCAAGAAATTGCTTCTTTTTAAAGCCAGAGGTGAATCAATAGGTTTCCCATATACCAGCTGCTGCAGAGACTTTAAATTCAGTTTTGTGTATTTCTACACTATAGTATGATTTAAAAAAAAAACAACAAATAACAAAAATCAGACTGATTCAAATGGCAAGTTTGGGCTGTGGTGGACAGGCAAAAGGAAACAAGAGTCACATCCAGCAATACTGTCAACATTAGTAATATTTAAACATTTTATATCATATTAAAAAAACAAACAAACAAAAAAACAAAGAAGTCTCACCTCACTCTCTCTCGAAGAAGGTAGAGAACATTTTTAAGACTGCCCAGTGTTCGGTTTTCTGGGTTCAATCTGTGGCGTCCAAACTGAAAAAAAAAAAAGCAGCACCAGAATTTCAGTGCAGTAGTTCCCCAAGTTAACTGGCTGAGAACCCAATACATGGTAACAAAGCCTGAAGAGTCTATCCCACAGCTCTTTTTAAATGTTCTAGGCTTTAATAGCAGTCAGTGAAGGCGTGAAGCTAAAGATCAAGTTATTCAACTTCACACACTCAGTGATACAATAAAATATTTTGGTGTTAAGACAGATTCCAAGAAAGCTTTACACATGGCCATGCTTGCTGTCTTTCAGTTCTTCTACACAAGAACATTTTTTAGGGTCTCAAAAACTGAGCTTGCAAGAACACGTGAGGGGTTTACACAAGTCTGTTTGCTATGTGCCTTGAGAAACAGCAGCAACAAAACTGCATTGAAAACTGTTTAGGTGAAGAGGTTCTCACAAGCAGTGACTTGTCATCAGCAACTAACCCATTTGATCCTGAGAAACCAAGGTTAAGCATTATTGCCAAGGAGTCAGACACCTCTATCCATTTTCAAATGCTAACTAGGTTCAAGCTACAGTGCCAGTCACAGCCCATGTTACTCAGAGGTTTCTGAAAACCACCAGGATTGGGAGTTTCCTTCTCGTCTCTTCTCTACCATCACACTGCTCTGATGTACTGCAAACAGAGCTTCACAAAGGAACAAAAAGTTAAAGACTTCCCAAAGGAAAGAGCATTCTCTAACTCAGGAAATGAGGCGTGAGTTTTAAAGAGAACATCTGCACCCTGGAATGCTGTGCACACCAACAGCATTGCTGTTTCTCCAGTGGGAACCTAATTTATCCACAGAGACGCTGAAGAAGCAGCTTCCCCACATAATCAGTAACAACAGTGCCACATATTTTTAATGACTGAAAGGGAGATAGATGTACCAACAGGCAAGGCTGGAAGCTGCTCAGCACTATCAATGACACAGGTAGCTGCTCATTTCATGGGAACAAGGAAGAGGAAAGCAAAGGTATAGAAAGCTCATTACAAGGAACCCTGATAACTATGAGAGAGCAGTAAATTTCTAAAAATTGAAGATTTTTAGAAGAAAAAGCCCCAGAATTCAACTTTGAGGACAGAACTTAACTTTCATACAGAAGCATTCCTTGCATCACAGGGAAAGAATGGGCTGCCATGAAGAAACAGCACATAGGACACCTTTTTCTACTATGAGCCCCTGTGAGAAGCACGTATCAGCACTGGGACACTGGCAGCGCTTTACCGAAAAGATAACTCCTCACTGCCCAGGCAAGCCAGCAAAAAAACTGACTGCCTTAGGCTAGAGCAAGCAGGAGGCAGCAGTTGGTTTGTCATCAAACCATCAGCACAACTTAGCAGAGCCGCCCTCATTTTAAAGAATGACAGTGCCACCAAGAGACAGAAGCACTTTGTTCAAGAAGCCAGGAGGAGACAAACAAAGCATGGAAGTGAGAGTCACAGAACTGCAGCTATTTCTGCTGCAATCATGGAAAGGAATGAGGGCTAAAGCTGTTCTGTTGACACAGACCCAGGAAAACTGTAGCACTGTGCAATGCTAAAGCTGAAACAGAGCACTCTGACATTCTGACAGTTCTCACCCATGCCAGCAGAAAAGGCACTACAAATTAAAAACAGTCCATTCTGCAATAAATGCAAATAAAGGTACTTTTGCTTAAATGTCATTTTCTTTTTGATCTATCATTTAAATAATAAAAGCCTGTATTATTAACTTAACTCCTGAGATGTGTCCAGTCTCTTTAAACAGGATAAGACAGCAAATGAATGCACTGGCTCTGCTGATAATCACAAGTTGAGAAAGTTTCAGAAGAAATGACTTTTATCAAAACTAAATTTCTACATGGATGTCATTGTGTGAAAAGGAATGCGTAGAGAAGTGGGAAGGAACAGAAGCTGAGAAAAGCTGGGCAGACACACCTAATATCTTATGAGGGTAGCAATAGCCACACAGTGGAAAATATAAATAAATGTGTAACAGTTCTAAAATTAAATAAAAACGTAAAAGCAATTTTAAAACTCGAGGTCATCCGGAAACAAACAGGGCTTACAGGATTTAATTTTAGTTTCCCACTTGACACATTTTCTATTTATAGCCAAAGAAGTAAAGCTACAATTCTACAGTGCCAATAAGCTGCATGGGGTACCAGCTTCTGAGGGGCATGATACTAATGCATTATGTTGTCAACCCTGATACCTCTTGAAGCAACTTGGAACAGCAATGCCAAGTTCTATCAGAACCCATCTTCAAAGAAAATACATGCTCTTGCAAATGATGGGTTACTCAGAAACAAGAAGAGTACTCACCCGCAGGATTGACTGTACAGTCTGCAAAGGATAAGTGAGGGTAGTGGCAACTGCTTTGGCTACTGCACCCATGACAAAAGCATCCAAAGATGTGAGCTGTTCAATACAGAAAGAACACAAAGCACCCCATCAGCCAGTTACCTGCATATCTCTGACAGTTTGGTATCATTACCTGCTTCTTGGTTCTCTAAGCATCTCTGGAATAAAAGAATTATAATGAAGGTTGAGGTTATCACACTTTTAAGAGTCAAAACGCAGTGCAACCAAGCAGCTTCCCTACAACAGGGGTTCATTTGTAATTCCTACCTACTCACAAGCTTTTGCATTTCTCACCTGCACCCTCCAACTAGCTTACTGACACAACATGAAGATAAAGCCATACAACTGAATCAAACTTCAAGCACCAGGATGGGAAGTAGTATCAGGTATAGTAGCATTAAGCATGCCCTCAATTCACAACCAGGTCAGGCTTCAGAACATACAAACCAACGCATCCAGAACATGGTCTTGGAGCAAGGTGATGGACTGAATGTCTCCTAGAATGAGATTCTATAATCCTGAGAGAATCACTACGCCCCTCAGGTAGAATTATAGTCCTGACAACGGAGGATAAAAATCTCCATCCCTCAGTTGTTAATTACACATGATGGAAGTCCATCCTCACCTCCAAAACCCATCGTGGTCCAGGATGCACCAACGACACTGAAATCAGTGTAGTTGATAACAATGGATTTCAGCAGAAGAAAGTGTAAAAGCTCACATCTCTGTGAACTTATTAACAAAAAGTAGTAGAGGTCCATATCAAAGCATTCTCCAAATTAGAAAAGTAGGTTGGTTCCAATCAGAAATACAGGCAACCAACATTAATTTACTTCAGGAAGGGTAACAGGGTAAGTGTAACTACATGTTTCTCAATCAGATACATTAGAATTTAAATGCCTAATGCAGATCAAGAGTGGCAAGCAAATGTGAACAGATGAGGACAAGAGGTGCAGCTTTATTTTTACAGAAAGAGGAATTGTCACAGTAATACCTTCTTTCAGAATGGGAAAAATTCAGAGCCCACTTGGCATCACAGTCACATGCCTGCATAAAAAATACACTGACTTGAACCCAACAACAGGGGAGGGAAAAAAAAAAATGGCAAAAACCTCCACACCTCCATAACAAGAAACGGAACCAAATGTACATTTCTCCAAAGAACCACTTTCTTCACACAGAACGTCCATCACCCAGTCTCAAAACATACTTACCTGTGTCTGCTTTTTTAAGAGCTTTCTTTTAAAGCCTTCATAAAACATGAACTGTATGGCAGGATTGAAGACCAGCAGCAAGGAAGGGAAAGTACCATTCCATAAAGCTAAGGCTCCTTCATCCCGTATGATCTGATGGAAGGCATCTGAGAAATAAGGAAGGAAAAAGCTGTTATGGTTATGAGCACAACATTCTGATTATAGAAGAAGAGTGAAGCTGTATTTATAGGCTGATGCTCTGCTTCTATAAAAGTCCTCAACACTCATCTCTTTGTCATTTTTGATCCACTATTCTAAATGGGAAGTTAATGGGAAAACAGTGACAGAGGAGGTTCTTCCTCACACCGCTCTTAGCGTGAGTAAAGCTTGCCAGCCATGCAGGTGCCTTCATCTTTCTAGTTCAAGCTCAGAATCAACATTAGACTTCTGAACCCTCTTCAAAACGACCTCCTTCTTTCCTTGCAGAGCAAAGCAGCCTGAAGGTGTGGGTGGGTTAGAGGTGACAGTGAATAAAATGTAAATTTGCAAGTGGTCTGTCCAAAGGCAGACCTCCCAGCTAGCACACTGCTAGGCTCACTGCACTTGCAGGATTTGGATAAGATGTCATGTGCCTTTGCAGAAAGCCTCGGGGTTACGTGTGCACAGACCACAAAGTCTCAGTTACCATCAGAGGTGGCACAGTCCAGGTTCCCGTCAAACTGCATGACTGCAAAGTGATAGGGGAGTACAGAGATTCCACAGGGAGATCTGTTATACAAATAACAGTCTTTCATCTTCAGAGTCCTTGCTGTGGGATTTCACTGAAGGAGCTCCTCCTTGTTTGAGGACAACAGATGCTCACCTATGATGCCTTTATAATTGGTCGGCACAATGTCTTCGTTTCTAAATTTTGCTCCTTGCAGCTTCAGCCGTGTGTTCACTACCCAGAGAGGAGTGGTCAGGAGTACATTCACAACACCTAGTGCAAACACAAGACAAGGAAAATCAGTGAGAACCAGAAGATTCCAAAGGCATCCCTCATCAGACGTGCCATGAATTGCACATGCAACAGATTAATAGTAGAGGGAATATAATTCTGCTTCTCTTCTCCAAAATGAAAGACAACAAACCAAATTGTGTATGGTATGGTAAAGGAATTTCAAGTGAATTTATTTCTTTGCTGCATTGTGCATCACTCTGGAACTCCAATCACTCTACTTGCACATGCCCTACTTGATGTGGGTATGGTACACTGCTTGTCTCATTTCAGAAAGAAAGCACAAAGGGGTAAAGGTAGAAGGATTCTTTTATCAGAAGATATCAAAACACATACATGTGTGCATGTTGCTTATCAGAAAAGAGCCCCTACATTGCCAAATGAACGAGAACAAGAAAACTCAGTCTTTTGGACAAGTGAAGCACACTCAAGGTGCAAATACAGGATTCTTAAGGCGGTGCAAAAAGGGATTGCACACA